AAATTACGTTTGCCTGACAAGATAGGCAAGGTGTGAAAAAAAGCAACGAGAGAAACATTACTTAACAAACCTTAACACTTAATACAAAATTAGATATTTTGCATATGAAAGCATTGTAATTTACGTAAATATATTTACACACAATATTTATAAAGAAATGTGTTTACTCCAAACTTTAAAATGGTGGTGGTTTGTACCTCATAATGTCTTCACCCCACCCGAAACACAGAGAACAGTAAAAAAGTAAGTTACTTTAGGTGTCTCAGTTTATTAATACACCAGTTTTTAGTAATTGATATTACAAGTTTTGTACTTGTAAAAAACTTTAGTAACAATTTTTTAGTTACAATATCTATTCCTTCAACTTAAAAACTCTGAAATAACTCCCAAATAAATAAAAAATAATTGAACTTTATCAATCGCGTAAATATAACTCAATCGATAAAACTCGCTTTTTAATTCCTTATATCTTGAAAAATAGTGAATAATCACAGAATCCTTAAATGTGCACCAACCATTCATTTCCGCACGCATGTTTGGTTGCAAACTGTTCTTAAATTGATTTTTGTTGGTTGTTTCTAGTTTTAGTTTTCCGTTGATTCCAGTAACTGTAAAGCCAGTTCAGTTCCCCGTGTTTGTTTCTGTCACAAGCACACAGAAACTGTATGGATATAAAAAGAGGCACGAGTTCTCTGTGCTTCATGCTGCAAGATCTCAACTCGATGAGTGATCAAGAATATGCTTGAGCATTTTGCTACAAGACTAGGCAGCGTTCTAGAATCTCATGCTTGAGAATACAGATAAAATAAGGATATCAATACATAACAAAAGAAATCATATATTTATCCAAAATCTATGAGGAGGCATGCTCCACCTCTTATGAGCTGCTTAGAATGGTAAAACGGTAGAAGAGTAGCCTCAGTTAACTAGAGTCTGGGAATATGTCATTTCGTGTAAAATTCGAGTTTAAATGATTGGATAAGCAATAATGAGAAAATATATGAAAATAATTATATTATGAGGCAGCATTGGCAGAAATTTGTGAACGTTTTGTTGAAAGATTATTTGAAATCGTCAAATGTTCTTAAAAGTGTAGGCCTCAGAGTCAGTTCTGGCTGTTTGGATCAAATAATATGCTTTGAAAATCGAGAAAAACTCATCAAAAGTTTCGAGTTCACAAGGCCATCATTTGTCTAAGTCGATCTATTCAGTTAATCTTCTATAACAGTAACAGACGTATCTTAAAGGAAATGAAAGACGGTAGAGTTGGAATATCAAGCCATGGTGTCAGAATCTCAATTTCGTGGATAAAGCTTCATATTGAGACAGTAGCGTGCAGGGGGGGGGGGCGAAAGGTGCCGGGGCCCCGGGCATCCAACGCAAAGAGTCGAATCGAATAGTAGAACTCTTTCCACCCTTCCCCAATGTCTTAGGTACAAGGCCCCGGGCATCATAGAACCTCTGCAAGCCACTGCCAGGGCCACCACGGCACTTATTTCGGCACTGTTGTGTTTGTTGTTTCCCAGGTTGTCTGATGAGCTCTAGTTTGAAACGTGTCGTCGGCAATGAATACAGCGAATATAATGTGTGGTTGGAATACTAGTATTATACATTCTTCTAATTATTGAAAATCCCTAAGGGACTAAATATAGAATGTATAGTTAAAATATAATAAGCATAATATCAATGTATGATGACAAGTAAATTAATAAACAATCATATAGTTGTATTTCATTTGAATTTTAATCAGAGTGAACCAATATTGGAATGTTGGTTGGTTTTATAATTTTGCATAAAGCTATTACAATCAATTTTACTGTATGTTTCTATTCCCTTAGTTAATAATATTGACAGTTGATCAATAAAACTACTAAGTTCATCTCGCCCTTGTTATTCACAAAACTAGATCATTCAATTAGGGTATCACATGTATTTCTCTTGGAAACGATTGCTGTAATTGTAACACAGTGCATACTGTATAGAAAGTGGCAATGATATTTTCCAATGCCATAACAGTTCATGCTCCAGGGATACAGCCTCCTTTGTTTTGTAATGAGGGTGACTGTCAATCACATGGGTGGATCTTCAACTCCTTAGAAGAATGGCATTATTGTTTTCCCTATAGAATGCCATGTTTTTTCAATGTGGAACAAGATGGATGATAATAGAACAACTGAGAAAAAGCTACTTTGAGATATATTCAAATTAATACACAGATATCTCTCAAGTAAAGGTGCTAAAACACAATTGTAGTTAAAATGTTTGGTTTTAGTTTGTGTCTCACTGTGTAATACATTGTGCCAGTCCCTTTCTTTGCTTCAGACTCAGTCGATGTAAAAAGATTTTAGATTTTTACTCTGTAAAACATTTTCTGGTGAACATCCAGTTACTCTGCAGCTCTTACCCAATTAATCACGGGGAAATCAGTTAACTTGAGAATAACACAAAGCTATGCAAGGGCTATCTGTACATAACCATCACAAATTTTGATCTATCTGATAGACTAGAGAAAATATTTTAGTGTGGTATCTTTAAAATAACTGGGTAGGATTCGCATAATAAGAAGATATTTCAATATAAGATGTGTTATTAACGTAAATCTAAATTTTCTGACCTCGATAGAGTTCGGAGAAAAGGAAGACACTGGATACAATATAAGACACAACGAAACAATCGTTATTTATAGTCACACACACGCAACAATCAATCATATTCAAAACGAATGTGATGTATTTATGATGATTTTAGTGGAGAGAGCTCTTTAAAAGGAAGTAATAAGAAAAGAGTGTTTTCCAGACTGATAAAACATTACATTATACACACGAAACAATAATTCTATTCAACTCAGGGCGCATGTGCTATTCACCAGACTGCTGATCATTTCCATCAAAACATAAGAGGGGTTTAAGATCAAAGTATCATCTAACCTTCCAGTGGAAAAGATCGCTGTCCACTTCAATATATCATGTTGAACTTTACAGTAATTTTTACTTCGAGAACGTGCACATTTTACACTAGACGAATAACCCAGTATTATGTTACGTCTCCGTTCGTTAGTTGATTTTCCGTAACTTCGTTCCGACGAAACTTTAGTGACACAAGTCCTTTCTTAATAAAACTGGTTTATTCTTTCCGAATACAACTTTACGATACACTTAATTTCAACAGTCGCGCTATAACAAACGCTATAACAACGAACGTCTCACGTGCTCAACTTCAACGATACTCTGTTCAATTACACACTCTCTGACTGCAGTTCAATTACTCATTACCTACACACATTGGAATTGTCGGGAGATTACTAGATTGGGGGTAGTCTGGTATATATAAGATGGTCACAACGTGACGGGATTATTTTAAAGTTGAAATCTTGTTTTTTAATAATTCGCAACAAGCAAGATGTACATATTGAATCAGGCGTATCTGTTAGTAGTTGTTGACATTTTTTTATGGTTGAACAAAAGGGCACTTTGGAAACATAAGTGCTGAAACACATGGTCTTGAACCCATTCAACTACCCTTCTGTGCACATCATTGAGTCAAACCCCAGTATTCGATCAGATAAAAGTTTACTGGTGTGGTATACAGGTATCCTATGTGCTTTCTATCCTCTCTTATTAAATAAAAATATAAATTATCCTACATACAGTGCGTGTAGTTTTAACATAGAGGTAGCTAAGTTCATTTTGCCATAGTTACTTATAATTGTTGCGTCAGCGAGGTCACGTGACTAGTATCACGCCACTTCCTTCTCGAACCTTCGCTTGTGATATGCTCTTAACTGTTGAAAAACAAAAACTCACTGTCTAATTTTAGATTCTAAAAATATTTATAACACTAATTGAATAGGAATAAAGAAGATCTGTCTACTTATTATGGCTTTTTACCTTATATATGTATCAGATGAAACCTACAGCTCTCCGTAGTTTCCCCTAAAACACACATCCAAAAAGCTTGCCTTACGATTTTGGAAAAATACCTTTTTTGTAAATGAACCCCTGCCATTTTAATATCTTCTGCACATTAATGATTTGACAGTCAGCTGAAACACTCACACGCCCCGAAATTGTGGAGCGTGATTTTGAGGTGAGCCACGAATCCTCGTATTCCTTGGCCTGGAGGGCTTTACAATAAGATTCGCTCAGGCAAATAATGTCAGAAAATTAGCTGTGCTACTCACAGTATTAAAAGCCTTACCTTATCAGATGTAGACTTTCGTAGCTTCCTGGGCCATTTTTAACTTTTGTTTATTTGTTTTTCTGATTATTTATTCTCTTCAGTGGTTATGTTTCGATATTATTGCTAGAAAGTTCAATTTATATGTTATTTCATTGTATAATAGATGGCGATCGTGTTCCAGTATGCACATTTCTTTTGCAAAATTCTGTGTTACTAACTGTGAGTAGAACTAGGAGGTGGTTGTTATTTATTCTGGGTGAAACGAGTTAAGTTATTTGAGTCAGTTTAGCTCTGACAACTATATACGTGTGCTACATTTACTAACTAAGTAAGTTAAAGTAGCAATATTATTTTTTTTTAAGTTTCGATTAGTTATCACAAGTTGAAAGGTTTGACACTTAAAAATTGAAAACGTAACTGTACTGTACTTTGTAGTACGTGCGGTGGAGGAAGTATTACTGTGTAACGACTAAGTGTAATTGTAAGTCAGTGGAACTGAGTAAGAATCTGAGGTGCAACATGAACGATTAAGTTAAAACGTTTAAGATAGTTATTCCACAGTAGCAACCAAGTTTTACTCAGGGTCAAACCAAAATTCCGGCTTCAACTTCTAGGCTCTACGTTTAATTTTATTGGTGTTATGATTATTAGTAATTCCTGATTTGGACATTGGAGCCTAAATTTTGGTTTGAGCTAGTTACGTTACCAATTTCTATTAAATTAATAATCAATATAAATATAACATTACCTGATTAAATATTATTTGAATATTAATCGTATTCTTATATAACATTGTGGGTTTAGGTTGCACATAGAATGTAGATTAAGCCCTTAGTTTAATGAATAAGCTAGCATTAGAATTTTTTAAAGTAACAATAACATGCTATTCTTGACTTCACTCATTCTTCACTCATCAAGTTGCATAATGCATAGCATGATCATACTTACTTGCTGTTAAATCCTAGTTTTTAGAATATTCTGTTTATATGATATTTTCAGAAGAAAAACAAATTAAAAATTAATATGATCTGAAGTCTCGAAATTTATCATTTATAGTTATTTTTATTTTCTTAATAATGCAGAATGTTCACTTGAGATTTTTGTTATAGAATCATATGAAATAAAATCTAATTGACTTGTTTTGTGAAGAAGTAGACTTACAGATTTGATAAGCTTGAATATAAATTTTGTAAACATAACCTAAAATTTCTTGTTTTCCCCAAGAGGACCCCCCACTTCTTTGTGATAAGGAAAATTATATTTAATGAACAACAAGAGACTTGTTAGCTTTTTAATGCTGTCACATCTGCTTCAAAAAAATCTCGAATTCTACTTTTATCATTTATATATTTCTCAAGCCTATCATTAAACTACCTGAAATGTTACTCTATCCACCACTTTAAAAACAACACATTCTAAAGGCCGACCACAATGTTGGAAAAGTAAAACTATAAGCTGAAGATGACTCCTACTCTGCCAAGAATTATACTTGCATCCCCTAGACCTACTTCTCAATATTAAATGCAAAAAATGTGATGCATCAACTCTGTTGATTTTCTTAACAATCTTAAGCACTTCAATCATATTCTGTCTAACTCTTCATTTCTTAAGAGAAAAAATCTTCAAAACCTCATATGACAACCTTTCTATCCTAGTAGCCCTAATTTGAAATTTTTCACTAATTTGATGTCCTTCAGGTGAGGAGCCCAAGAATGAACACAATACTCAAAATTAGGTCTAAACAGTGATCTATACAATGAAATCATAACCTCTTTGGACTTAAATTCAACTGAAAATTCCATTTGCCCTAACAGGACACTGCTTAGATAGATTAAGAAACTTGAATACCAAAACACTAAGATTTTTTCTTCCATAATAGTGTTAAGATTATTCTCCTCAAAATTATAGTTTAAATTATGATCACCCACATGTATTACCTTCATTTGCTCAATTCACCAAATGACAAGTCCTTATATAAAGCACCAGCATCCTAAAATCTAGCAGCACCCAATAACTTAATATTATCAGCAAATTTAAGTAATTTACTGAATATTCCTTTATCTATGTCACCGATGTAAATAATAAAGAGGTCTCATCAGGGAGCCTTGAGGTATCCCACTTGTGACATTAATCCAGTTTGATTGAAGTCAATTATTTACAACAACCTACTGCTTTCTTCTTTCCAGCAGATTTTGGATCCATACAGATTTTTTTTTAATGTATCAAGACTTTTGTGTGGTATGCTATCAAATGCTTTCTAAAAATCCATATATATCAGATCCACACCTTTACCTTCATTAACATAAGCACTAACCTTTCCAAAGAATGTCAAAGATTAGTAAGGCAAGATTTTTCCCTTGGTTAAATCATGTTGGCTTTCCAACAAAATTTTAAACTTTATTGAATGATTTTGCAAAGAATATTTTATTAGACTTTTAAAACTTTTTCCACCACTGATATAAGACAAATAGTTGTTGTATAATAACTGAACACTTTTATCACCCCCTTTAAAAATAAAAGTATCATTAGCCAATTTTTAAACCTCTGGCACCTGCCCACTACTCAAGGACTTGCAAAAAAATGTTATCAAATGACACATTTACAATCATTAACCTCTTTCAAAACCCTTGGTGAACCATTATCTGGTACAAGAGCCTTGTCATTCTTCAAACATCCAAATTTTTCTAAATTTCAGCTCAGAATTAATGTGATCATCTTGTTCATTAGTCATCTTTCCCTCTAACAACTGTTCAGAATAAGGAATACTGCTTAAATCTTCATTAGTAAAAACTGAAGGAAAAGTAGAATTTAGTAACTGAGCCATCTTGTCATCAGAAATCCTTCTGTTAACATCCCTATAAAACCCTGTTAAAAAGGGTCTTAACATTTTGCTTTCATTTAATTCTTATTGTCAATTTTTTACATTTTCATCAAACCTTTTTTTCATATTCTTTTTCCATTGCTTTATGCCCTATTTAACTAACTCTCTTGATCTATAATCCTCTAAATCTCCCATCATAACAGTAAAATTTAAACCTCTTAAATTTGTAATACTTTTCTTTAAATTTATCTATTATACTCTTTTACTTGCAGCCACTCTTTTTTTTCCCCTTTCCTATAAGAAACTTATCTATCTATTGAATATTTTTTTAATTTTCCACATCTGATTAGTATTTCTATTTAATTTCAGTAGCCAAAGAGACAGTTATTATTGCATCACTTCACAATTTGCTTTCTTGGAATTTATAATCAAACTTATTATTCCTGATCTCCATATACAGCAAAACCTTTTATCAAACCTTCTATCCCTAATATCTGCTAAAAGAAACCCAAACAGATGTAATTTCTGCTATTCTTTTTGATATCCTCAAATAAAACAGATTGGAATTCACATTTTGTATATAAAACTACTTTTCCCCTCTTTTTGGTATTCTATTCCTACTGAATAGCATATAACCACATACTTAAATAAAAATAATGTCATCAAAATTGTCTACTTCTAAGCCTCAGTTAATCCATAATATCAAAATCCTCCATTCTGACAAGTGCTCTAAAGTCATGTTTTATTTCTATTACTTCTAGCATTATATAGTAACAATTTAGCCTACCCTTAACACTATTTCTGTGCTTTGTTTCTACACTATACTGTTCTCTATACAATTTTTTTTTCTAAAGTTAGAAGAATGTTTTAATATAAAAGTTGTTTTATTGATGATATACTCACTAATTTACTAACTGGAATTTTCATCATGATCATTCCCTTACACTTTTTCTAGGTTTTATTTGGTAAGATATCTTTATTTGTATTGTAATAAAAATGAAGAACAGTATATCATTCATATGAATTGATGTTGCTTCTTCAAAAGTTTATGAACATAAGGAACTCAGTACAATACTGTTACACTGGGAGTGTGTACCTAAGGGAAGATAACAATCCATTTGGCCTGTTGAGATTGCACCTTAACCAAAAAAGATGTTTTTTCATCTTTTGAATAAAACTTAAATATAGCCCTTCATGCCCATGTAGCTATCTAACATTTTAACTACATTAGAACCACTGCACATACATTATCTTCAAGCAAGTTTGACTATAATAACAACAACAAAATGTCAGAAAACAAGTCAGCAAGATGACATACTGAGCTCAACTTATTACCTTCAATAACGAAGCATGTATTTTTAACATTTTCCTTTAACTAAGTAGTAACTTAGAAGACTGCCTAGATTTCTAACAAATTTAGTTAACCTTTCTGGTTATTTTTCTGTTCAGAGAAAACCTATTGCAGAACTTTATAAGCCTCTTTTTTGTGTGTGTGTTGCTTAAATTACAGGTATCATAGTAGTCTTTGCACTCTTTTCCAGTATGCTGACATATGCCTCACCAAGGCCTTTTATAAGTTCTAAGTTTTTAAAAATAGAACTCTTGATTTTTCCTGACCAGCAAAACTCAGTGCTGAGCATTGTAAGGTTTTATCCACAATAACACCTTTTCTCTTTCTCTCTGTCTCTAATTATATACAGTATTTTTCAAACTTCTGTATCCTAAGTACACAACTTTACACTCTTCAATACACAAAACTAACCTTTACATTCAGGTCCAGTCTTTAAGACTTAGGAAAAATATTCTCACTAGAGTCAGCTTTACCCAGCAATTTTATATTCGTAAATTTAGAAATATGATTGTACAAGAAACTGTCCAAGTCACTTACATAAATAATGAACTTGAGATTAAGGAACCTCTTGTATCCAATTCTTCTAGTTAGTCATTTATTATCATTATTTGCTATCTGTCACTATTCTTTCTTGTCACTGCTCCTTGTTTTCACAAATTCCTTAACTATTCAATTTTGTACCAATTAATCTCTCTCTTTTTTTTCCAAAACTTTCAAAGAGTCATGGTGCATATAGAACATTCTCTCATTCAAAAGTGTGAAGCCCTACCATAAAACTCCAACAAATTCATAAGATAAGAAACCCCTTTTCTGATACAGTGTTAAGAATTATGAATTAAGTGTCAACCTTGAGAGAAATTCATAAATTTTAAGTTGAAGAAGTGGTTGTTTTGAATGAACCTTGATAAATTTCCAGTTAATTAAATTCCTGAGTCCTAACCCTGGCAAGATTTATTTTAAAATCTTTAGCCTTGGGTAATAGTTAGAGGCTTTGTTATTTTTCATAAGTTCTTTATCATTGGGAAAATTCCTAATGACTAGAACACTGCATATATGATTCTTATTTAAAAGAAAAAAAAAAAAAAACTATTGAGTAATCAGGAAACAAAAGACATATTAAGTTTGAATTTTACTTTTATCAGTGAATTTGAAGCTGGATCAAAAGACATTTACAAAAGTACTTAGATCCAAAGAAATTGGTGGGCTTAAGATTCTCTTCCTTATGATCATTATTAATACACTAGTGGAGAAAGTATTGACCTCTTTATGTATATTCTAATCTTTTTAATAAGGCTCCTTTTAAAATATTTTTAAAGGACAAAAATCTGTTTACCTTTGAGGCTTTTTTTTAACAGCCTTAGCATAAAATCTCTTCAAGTCAAATTTGATGTTCTGAGCCAAGAAACTTTAATAACCTTAATGATAGTTTTATTGACTTTTTGGTTAGTAAGCTTTGGCACCCTTAATTTAGTAAGTGAATTTTATGTTGTTATAAGTAAGGTGTTTTTTAACATATTAAAAATTTCATCCATTCAGGAAAATGTTTTTAGTTGGAACAAATGGTTGGTAGGAACACGTAAATTTTTTCATTCCATTAAGAGTTGTCTCTCTCAACATATTGAGCAGTTTTTGGAAGTCAGCTTTTTTATAATGTGGAATATGTCTCTTATTAACTTTGCACAATTTTGTTTTTCTCATACTTTTTTGGTTACTTTCCATTATGTATTAAATTCTTCATAATTTTTCAAGATTTGTCCAGCTATTGGAATTGTTTTGTGTTCCACTGGAAAAGTTGCTTCAGGCATCATCTGCTTAAAACATTTCTTCAGATAGTGTTTGAACTCTACATTAAAAAATACTGCATAAAATATAATATTCAAGTGGTTGTATTTGTTATGCATTGGATTCAGTAAATAGTGCTTTGAAGCAAATAATCATTTTTATTAATTTAGATTCATGTTAAGCTATTTAAATTCTTATTATCAGTTTTTTTTTTTACTGTTAGCATTCAAATCCAAGTTTACTGGATTGGTTAATGTTGCACTGTGTAAAATAATTATCAGTCATAATATTGTGGACATTAGAAGCATTTTCTACTCTTCTCAATTAGTGAATATAAAAGTAGTAGTATACGTAAGAAAACAGTTTTAATAAAAATATAGAACAGTATTATAGAAGAGTTTATTGATAATATTGGATATTACGTGTTTTTATAAAATTATTGTGTAACTTAATATTTTTTTAAATATTGCATGAAGTTCTAATTCACTTTTAATTATCTGTAGAAATAGGTTACAGATTACAACATGTGTTTCAAGTTTAATGTTGAGCTGCTACTTTTCTATGCCAAACTTACTTAATACTTGCTTAGTTTGCTGATACTTTTTGTGGGTTATATTTAAGAAACTCATTTTTAATATATATTTCAATGTTTATTTTATTTTCTTCTAATAGGTAAACATAAAGATTTTGAAGATGACAAGTGAGGGAGACCAAGGTTGGGTTAAAGTTTTTGTGTCCAGTAATGTTAGCTCATTTTTGTCAGAAAGGCGTTTTCAGAAAGATCTTTCTATAGCAGAAGTAAAAGGAAAGTTAGAGCTTTTAACAGGAGCTTCTGCTGCCTCAATGAAACTAGAACTTCATAACAAGGATAATGAACTTGTTGCTTCCCTTGACAATGATACAGCTTCTTTGTCATCCTATCCTATTATTGATGGAATGAGAATTAGTGTCATTGACAGCTCTAGTACAGCTGGAGAATTTGAAGATACGAGTAAAGTGGAAAAGTTTGAATTGTCAAATGAGGAATATGCCCAACGAGCCGAATCACTTAGAGCTTTTAAGATGCAGAACAAGCTGGGTCAATTTGATGAAGAAAAAAATTCCCAACTTCAGAAAATAAAAGCCGAGAAGGAGAAGAAAATTAAGGAAATGGTAGAAAAGATTTCTGTTGGTAACCGCTGTGAAGTTCACCTCAGTGGCCATCCAGTTCGTAGAGGAACAGTAATGTTTGTTGGAGAAACTCATTTTAAACCAGGGTACTGGGTGGGAGTCAGGTATGATGAACCACAAGGAAAAAATGATGGAAGTGTTCAAGGAAAAAGATATTTTGAGTGTCCAGAAAATTATGGGGGATTTGTGAGGCCCTTAGATATAACTGTAGGAAATTTTCCAGAAAAAGAATTAGATTTGGAAGATGATGAAATATAAACACAAGTCTTACACAATCATCTTTCATAATATAAATGCTCTGTAGTGTGGCTTGTTACAACTTAACAATTGTCAATTGTATTTCAAGATACATCAAAATTGATTGTCAATTCAACAAAATAATTTTACAACTATGCTTGTTTTTTAATGGCATTCTATTAAGAATGCACAAACTTTATGGAATCTGTAATACCTATTAATAGTTTGTTTGCCATACATGAACAAAGTACTGTATATGTTGATTAGTAAGTTCATATCATTTAATTTTTCTTTTTTGTTTTGTAATTTTTTTTATTTAAATCAGTTAGAAATATGAAAACTTTTTTTTGTTATTAAGCTTTGAATTCAATAAAGATTTATTGGATTAGGATTGTTTTTAGTAACTGCAGGGGATTAAATTTATTCAAATAATCTAGTAACCCATCGTGTATTAGCTTTATGATGTAGATATTCAATCAAACCCAGCTATGTAAATAATTGATTGTTTAGGAATACATAGGAATTTGAAAAGTCTGCATTGATGCATTTAATGAAGAAAAATCCAACCCAAAAAGTATGGGTCAGATATTTAGGATCAAGAGATCACCAGCCTAATATTTTGGATTGTCAAATAGAATTATGAGCACCCTGTTCACTTGACATTTAATTCTGACTACTACTCTGCGAGTCGTAATTTTCCTGATACTTTTACATAATACTAATCAGCTAAACTGCAATTTTTATCACTATTGGATGAATGTTGTATGTTGTTCAGTTTTGTATTTTTAGATGTTAATAGACAACTTGGCCATACTAATAAAACATCTCAGATAAATAACTTTTTGTTTTCAAAAGAAAATCTAACACTATCAAAATATTTAATTTTTTAAAATTTGTTATAACAAAACACAAGATCCATGTAATCATTATGCTAAATAATTTGTATATTGGAGCTTATTTGATTTGAATATGCAAAATAGTTGTATATCTTGTGTATAAGCATTTCCTTATAAATGTGAACTTTCCAACAAGGTTTGCTTAAAATAGTGAATTGGCATGAAATTAAGAATTGTTTACTTACTTTCATTAGTCTATACAAAATGTTAAATTACTGAACATTAAAAAATATTACTTCACTATACAGTATCACTCTTGCTTTTTAGAGAAAAAAAAATACAGAATTTGTCTATTCTGAATTTTTGTCATGTTTTCTTTTGGTGAAAAAAAGATAAACTAAGTTACACCAGAACAACTTTTTTTATAAATGGCTTTTAATATTATCAGTGCTGGAAACAGACTAATTGTTAATCCCTAAAATATTTGGTTTTCTATTAATTCTTGGTTTGGCATGGTGGTTAGAGTGCTTGACTCTAGAGCTGGGCAGTTAGTGGAATTTGATAATCGATTAGTCTTCAGGCTCATTAACCAACTACATTATTCTCACATGAAACTTGTAGTTGGAATAATAAAAAATATTAATAATTGGAAACACTAATTGTAATTAGTTGATTATTTTCGAGAGTTGTGACGCTCATTGGTTAAGCTGAACAACCTTGAATTAATCAAAAATAACAATTAGAAATCATAGAGGCAGTATATGGATTACATGGATAGTTGGAATAATTGAAAACAGTAATAATTGAGCACTAATTTCATTTAGTTATTTTCATGAAGTTAATCAATTTAATAATAATTTTGATTAATCTGTTATTTTACATGACACTAATGGATGCAACTGATACTCATAGGTAATTAATTATATTGCGTTAGTCATCCAGTTGTACTTCATTTGCCTATCACTTCAAAGTTAGGGACTGCAAACATGGATAACCGTCAAAGTCAAATAGCTTTGTACAAAGTTCAACAAACTATTAATCTTTGTTCAATAATATCCCTTTAAAGCCAAAAAAGCACGTTAAAATTTGATAAGAATATACCATTCAACACAACAAAATCAATAATTTGACTTCTATTACTAATTATATTTGACAATTGTAGTTAGGCTACATCTAAATTGATCAGATTTTCTGGAGTCCAAAGCAGAACACCTAACTGATGAATAAAAAAAATTGGTTGCATTAAAAAATAAAACTTCTTTTCTTAAAAGATGTACACCATATTATTATTATACTTTTCATTAGATATTTTCTTTAACATATCAGGAGTCCGTTTTGGAAACATGCGATAGAAAATAATGTCATTCATGAAAATACCATCTAATCATTTTCCGCTGTTACAATTAATCTAGACATGAGAATTATTTGACAAAATTGTCTGAAAAAAATACAAATTTCTGTTTCAAATATTAATTTGATTATAGTCTGTAAATGAAATGTGACGGTAATAACTGTGTATAGCCCGATATAAGCTGCAAAAATTCGAGACATTACAGAGTTAAAAATAGTGTCAAAGATGTTTTGGACATTCAACGCATATCCCGAAATAAAGCAAACTAATTTCATACTGTTTTGTCAGTTATAACAATATTACTATGAACTGAACGCAAATATACTATATTTCACTGATTTCATAATATAAAAGTAAATGGCTAACGGTGTTTTATGAGAAAATAAACAAGCTAATTTCACCTTATTACATCCTCAATAAGTATATTGTTACGCCTCTGGTCGTTTGTTAATTTTCCGTAGAAATTCTTTCCGAAAAACTTCAGCAATACAAGTCCTTCCTTAAATAAAACTAGTTTATTTTTTTCTCAATACACTTAATTCCCACAGTCAGTTAACTTTAACAAACGCTATAATTCACAACGAACGATTTACGCGCTTGACTCAATTGTCCGTCTCTGTCTGCAATTCAATTCCATTGTTGCCGTCACTTCTTGGCGGTTTTATATACAAGAATACCGCACATCTAGTAAACACTCGAGGCTTCACGAACGGTCATGAATTTTCTAGAAGCTCATGACGTGTTACTAGAGTCACGTGACTTTCGCTGTCGTAACAATATGATTATCTACGTATTTCAACGTAAATATATGAAAATGAAAGATATTGTAACGACAGCGGTAGTCACATGATTCTGGTAACACGTCATGATATTATAGAAGAATCGGAAAACATCACGAATAATCCAGTATGTGCTAGGCGCCCTCTATTCCTGTATGTAAGCGCGCCGGATAACATGAGACAAATTAATCGGAATTGAATTGCAGACAGGCAGAGATAAAGACGGACAATTGAGTCAAGCGCGGTAGTGACCGTAAGTAAGTGCGTGAATCATTGTCAATTATAGCATGTGTTTAAAGTGACTGTGGAAATTAAGTGTATTACAAAGTTGAATTGAGAAAGAATAAACTAGTTTTATTTAAGAAAGGACTTGTATCGCTAAAGTTTCATCCGAAAGAAATTATACGGGAAATTAACGAACGACTAGAGGCGTAACAATATTATACCAGGACAGAGCAAATCTTATGTGCAGTTATAGTACGGTAGTGCTTACCGGCATTAAATTTGATCATGTGGGACATTTACGTTTCTTATCTCCCAAAGTGGGGCATTTTCGCGTCCTCTAAAGTTTTTGGGGGACAGACAGCTCGAAAACATAACTGTCATGCCGAAATCGGGACGTCTGGTCACATTAGCTACTTTTGAATACAATACCATTGTCTTCTGCTACTGTACATGTATTCCATTTGTTGAATTACATTTTAATAATGGTTATTTTGTACAAAATATTATAGTTTAAATCTTGTACTTATCAAAATTAGACCAATTCCAACAGTCTCAGAGTTGCACAGAATAATATCTTTTATGTTGGACTTCTGACTCCAGGTTTTTTGTTTTCTCACATTACAAATTTATTATTCTTTTGGTCGAGCTTGAGCTGTCCACACTTTGTATGAACAGTTCATTCAAAATGTAGACTGGTGTTTTCAATGGCAGGTCAGGCGGTATCTTGAGGTTACAGCCCCCCCCCCCTACATGCTTGAATGTGAATTACCAGTCTAATTACCATGGCCAGGCGGTTAGGGCGCTCGACTCGCAATCTGCGGGTTCGAAATGCTCGTCACACCAAACATACTCACCCTTTCAGCCGTGGGGGCGTTATAATTTAACGGCCAATCTCACTATTCGTTGGTAAAAGAGTAGCCCAAAAGTTGGCAGTGGGTGGTGATGACTAGCTGCCTTCCCTCTAGTCTTACACTGCTAAATTAGGGATAGCTAGCGCAGATAGCCCTCGTGTAACTTTGCGCGAAATTCAAACAAACAAACAAGTGCAAGTTGCTGTGGGTAAATCCAACATTACCTGTGAAAGAAATATTCAAATCCAGTACAAGTAGCAGTTCATAATCTAAAGCAAGTACACACACTGTTTGTTTTTAAATTATGTCCAGTCTCGTCATTTCATTCTCACAAATTCAGGTATTCAGAGAAACACGGCATTACTTATTAATAACTATTTTGTTGAATCTCCTATTATTTTGTGGACCTATTCCATCACTAAGGGAAATCCGTTTAACCTGAATATACCACAGGGTAGATAGGAAAGACAAAATGTTGGTGCCATAACCAGGATATTTTATTGTGTAGTTTTTGCTGATGTGTATTGACCTTTACTCCTACTACTGTGTTATAAAGATTAAAAAAGGCTTTATGTTACTAGAAATGACATTTCTCATAACTCAAAGGAGTTATAACTAAGAAAGTCAATTTATGAAGGAATATGTTTGTATGTGATAGTTGTTGTGTCTAGGAGAGGTCATCTCCTGGATATTGGACTATGAGATCCATGACTTCTATTGCATTGCAGCTGGCAATTCAAGAAGTAGGGTTGACAATGTCTGTAGCACTGAAAAATCTGTTTGTACTATTTTCTTGAAGATAAACTTTAGTGAAAGAGAACCTTAGTGAACTTAAGATTGTCATAGTTGTGTGTGGCTTCTGGTGAGTCTGGTATGTGTAGGATTATCAGACCTTTGCCAACCAGATTAACCCAATTCCACTTCTGGTTGAAGCCATCCAAGAACACTGGAGTGAGAGAGTGGGGGTGTCAGTAGTGAATGGCATCAGTCAACAGGAACTATCTCACTGGCAGATATCAAACTGTAAAATAGGTGGACCATGGGTCAGTGGTGAGCCTATAAGCTGGGGATATACTACCGAGGCAGATGGGGATTGTGAAAGAGCCTGAGGTCGTGCACAGTGAATAGATTAGCTGCTGACTGACATTAGTCTGCCTCCTGTGGATCAGTGATCGAATACTCATATGAGAGTAAAAGTCCCTAAGTATGCCCATGAAATCAAAGACATCTTGGTCAGATGATGGCAGAAAAGTCATGAGGGAGATATTCTGGCTATGATTGTGGTCCCCTGTGAGCAAGGCAAAACAGATAATTTAACTGACATTAAAAGGCACAGCAAAGTAAAACTTAGTTGCTTGAAACATTTCAGATAGGTTATCCAATAAATAAAGTGGAAGTAACTGAAGCTAGAGGAAAGCAATTACATTGTTAACAACTTGTCTGAGGACTGTGCAGAAACTTTAGATTCAATACAGTTGCAACAACTTAGTGACTTGTTGAATGGACATTCCAATGGAAACAAATTGGGTCGAACTACAGTGTCAACGCATCACATATATACAAGTGATGCCCATCAAACAACCACCATGCAGGCTTCCCTGTAGCATAAGGAATGTAGCCAGCACCATAAGTGCTGATCCTGGAGGGAGTACAGATCCCTTGTAGCTTTAGCAGTTTAAGACAATATATTTATCTGTACCCCCCCACCCCACCACACACACACTTTAAATATATATATATATATATATATACTCTAATTATGTTATTATATATTTCCAAATGGTAAGATACTATCAAATATAGCTTTAAATATTAACGAATAGCGTGAAACGTCACCCTCTGCGGGTTGCTGCAGATTTTTATAATTAATGACGTTAATATTTTTTCTTAACCACCTCCCCTCCATGTTACAGATGAGATCAGCGCCCATGTCTGAGATACAGCAGATATTATTGGATGGGATCATAAAACCTTCAGAGATTTCTTGGTCGTTTCCAGACAGAAAGAAAGAAGGAACGACTAGGTTCTGCAATCAGGGGCGTATTAAGATTTTCCTGCTGAGCTATTACTGATTTACTCCAACAAATGGCAGCAATACATGAATATGTCATACTACCATTAGTCGATGATCCATTAGATCATTAGTCGAGTGCTATCCCTTTCGTTTTAATAAGCTCGATACAAATTTTAACACTTTCACATATAAAATAAATATATTTTATTTCAGAAGACAGTTCAATATATTTTAGGACACGTAAAGTTGCGAATTGTAAATAATGTTCAGTTTCACCTACAAGTGAGAACCCTAAACAGCGAAAAGTAAATTGGCTGGTTGTGCCTACCAATTACCACTCACACATGGACAACTGAGGCTCTCTTTCTGAAAGCACCAGTACTTTAAAACAATAGAATTGTGTAATTCTTATTTTTTGAGAATAACATGTGATCAAAAAATGCCAATTTTATTGTAAAATTAAACAAAAAACAATTCCTTCCAATAATTGTGGCCTATATTAGTACTAGCGAAGTATATCTTAGAATACCAAATAAATACATAGTTTATATATGTATATATATATATAATTTACTAACACCAATAATACTTTACTTGGTAAAATACAATACTACACTACATCTTGATGTCAATATAGTTCAAGTTTATTGTAACTTTACAATATTCATTAAAAATGACTTAGAAATTTGAAAGCAAAATTTACAATC